TCAAACAGCATTTAAAGGACTCTGAGCCTGAGGAAAAAGATTCTCTGATCTAACGAGACAAAAATGAAGTCCTACTCATCACCTGGCTAAAACCATCCCCACGGTGAAAGATGGTGGTATCACCATCATGCTGTGAATACTGGGTTCTCAGCAGCAGGGACTGGAAAGGAAAGGGGAATGCAGCCAAATACAGCAAGGACAATGAAAAAACCTGCTCTAGAGTGCACACAACCTGAGACACCTTTCAGCATGACAATGACCTGAAGCATGAAGCCAAGACAACAGAGGAGTGGCTTCAAGTGTCTGACTGTCCTTGAGCCCAGATTTAAAACCTATAGAACATCTGTGGAGAGACCTGAAGACGGCAGTTCACAGACACTTCTCACCCAATCTGTCAGAGCTTGAGAGGATCTGTCAAGACAAATGGGATAAACTGCCCAAATGCAGGTGTGCAACACTTGTAAAGACTTGCCCGAGAAGACTCAAAGCTGCTGCCAAAGAGGGTTCAACAAGGTGCTGAATTAAGGGTCTGAATACTTTTGTAAATAAGACATTTCAATTTTTGATTTTTAAAGAATTTGCAAACATTTATAACAATGTGTTTTTACTTTGTCATTATGGGTCTAGAGTAATGTGCAAATTTTATTGATTAACAATTAAATCAACACAATAATCAACAAAATGTGAGAAGCATGAAGGGGTCAATGGATATGCTGAAACATTTAACCAGTTGATTTACTGTTTAATTCATTAAAGTGACTATAATCCATGTTTAATATAAATGTATCAAATGATAATGTGAGAGGTAAACTACACAACTCTTGGACTTCCATAAAGTGCTACTGACCCCTTTAAGAGAAGTCGAAGAGATCATTTCATACTACATCACTCCTGCTAAGTGTTCATTTCAAAATGAAAAATGATCAAAGAACACAGACTGTACTGGTCAAATTAGAGTGGAAAGAAGGCGTTTTTGGTCTTAGAAAACACAGTGGTTTGGAAAAAGTCTGACCAGACAGCAATGATAGTTGGTCACTGGTCATAATGTATTGCATTGGTTGAACCCATCTGCTTAAACACTGTGACTGGAGTCCTGTAATGCCCTGTCAGAACCAGTTTGTAAAACTGTGTTGGACATCAGAAGAGGTTCCCTGAACCTGTACCACACCGTTGACGAAATGTGATATCATTTAAAAATGGTGACAACACCACACATTTACAGACAGGAAGTCATTCATAGTGTTGTACCTGATTACGCACACAAAAAAGTGCCACAAACAGTTGTGTAACAAATGAACAAGAGCTAGAGAGAGTAGTTGAATCCTTGGCTCTGCACAGATGGACGATCACAGCATGAAGTGGGTGTGAATGTCAGATTGTCAATTTCAGAAAGTTTCAAACTCGGTGAGACACAGACCTGCCCTCATCTGATGTCAGAGAGGGTCCAGGGTTGCCCGCCTCTCACTAAATACCTCTGGGACAGACCCCTTCACTCAGTAAGGCTTTTACCAAGCTATGATGAGAGAACTGTTGTGTGTTTCTATATAGGACTCTTTATCAAGCTGTTGCTCTCGTGTTTGAAAAGAGATGTTTTATTCCTCAACAATTCTCCATCATTACAGTGGGACCTCGTTACCATGGTGACAAAAAAGATAAGGCCTTTACAGTCACACTGTTGCAGACCTGTCACCCTGTACTGACCTTGCTACTGAAGATGTCCCTCATGTTCACCGTGGTGAATAGTCAAGAGACTAGGACAATGACAATGTTTCTGTCTTTACCTGAACCACACTGAATTGAAAAAAGCTTACTGAACTATTAACCCTTGGTTAAAATGTCTATTGATGGAACTGAATACACATGGTAGACATTCAGGCTTCACTCTCCCACCACCTGTCACCATCTGTGTTTGCAGCAGAAGCGCAAAGGCCTCTCTGTGTGTAGTAATAGACAACAATTAGGCCTAATGAACCAACAAATCTCACCAGGTAGCATACAAGGTTAAATACTGTCTACATGCTGGTAGAGACTTAGTAGAAAAAGAAAAATGTTGAAGAGGAGAGAGATAAAAAGAAAAGCATGTGCGAGTCAATCTGGCTTCACATGTTGTCTAGTCTTTGTCAGCACTTTAATCCAGTAACTGTAGGGGTTTATCAGCAACACATATTTCTAACAACACATTAAGCTTAATGACATGTCCATTGAGTACATGTTTCATCTTGAATGTCATCACTTTCTAAGATGCCACAGCAGAAATAAAAGTATTTTTTTGACTAACCTGATAGACAGGAACCCTTTACACCAACACACAGGACTAACCGAGAGCTTGAACACAGAAACTAAAAACATATTACCAGAGCCAGAGGCTGAGTAGTAGTACAATATGGACTTCAGATTTAGATGTCTTCGTATGACTGATGTGATGTGGGGCGAACAGGCTGGCAATGTGCTGTCTGTTAGAGGCACATGGTATGACTTTGTACTGGATAAAATACAGTGCAGAACTATTTAGCCTCATCAATCTGCTCTCCACCAATAACTGTGATATCAGCTCTTTCTCCTCTTTACGAGTCAAATTACCATTTCATGATGGATTTATATCATCTGGGATTCTGTGGTAAAACTATAATGTTACTGCCGCACTCCCGGACAAGCACAGGAGGACAAGCTTTGACCCATCTTGGCTGAAATACTCCTCCTTGCTCTACAAGACTGATACTGGTAAGGTTAAGGGCAAAAAGTGAATAAAAATGTAACTTAATTCAACTCCATACAATCTTGTAGCACTCCACTCCACGCCATGATCAAACTGTACAATATATGTCCCCCACCCCCACCAGAAAAAAAGAAGTCAACCTGGGAAAAACCTGCATCTCATACAGTCACGTCATTGAAAAGGCTCTGATTCATGTGAAGCGCAGTCATATGAGCAACAGGTCTGTGGCACAGCCGAGTCCAGACATGTCAGAGAACAGGTTGGTTTGAGGAAACACTCAACTAGAGCACACGCAGACACGCACGCATGACTGATGACGAGGCTGCAGCGTGCCTTTTTTGACTCTGTACCAACACAGGGCGGCCTTGGTGGCTGTGGTGATTTGGTTAGTAATGTTGTCTGGATAACTTGCCCAGCAAGTTATTGATATGGCCAACAATGACAACACTAGCACAACTCTCAACAACGTCTGAACGCCATAAATTCCAGCTGATACAGTGCAACCATTTCAGCTGCCTGCTGAGTAACACAACTGAACCACAGTGAAACCTCACAATGAGGAAGAAGTGGTGAGTGTGAAGGAGTGACTGCTCCTTTTGCACACTCACACTCACAGCATATAAAATGTACTATTTGAATTGAACACATGCCAGTTTAGGCTATTTCCACACTTAACTAACATTATACTGCATGCAGATTTATTTGAGCTTAATATTTGGTTTTGTAATTGCACATGTCAGAAGGGAGCATTGTGTACTTTCAGAGATTTATGTGTAAGCAATCAAACCACTTTATAGGAAAACACAATAGGATACCCATGCGTCATAATCTAAACAAAACAAAACCTTGTTATGTAAACATCAAACAGTGTACCAGCCAATGGAATGCTAGTCTGTAAACTAGACTCAGTCAAAGGTCAGCCCACAGGTCAGGGCCAACACACAGACACAAAGATCACTGTGACCCTATGGTGACCTATAACTGGTCAAATTTCTGTTACATAGAGATTAAAACAAACACTCTTTGAAGCTGTTATTCCACTCAAAATGACAAAAGGTCTAACAACAACAGTTAAAACCCAAAAGGCTGCACTCAAAATAATGACTAAAAAGGGGCTGATCACTCAGCTCTGGATGTTAGCAGCCAAACTGATGTTACACCCAATTCTGACTACAGCTTTAAAGGAAATCGAAGCACTACAGTAAAAGGACAATCTTCTGGAGCTGCGCTGCTGTCCTTCAACATCTAACCTTATTGAACTGCATGCTGGCTTGTCACTGTAGTGGACAGGGATTTGGTTTTGTTGGAAATTGGCCTTCTTCCTGAGGCCTGCTAAATGCAGGGGAGGGCTTCATCCTACTGGAATAGGTGCCTCTATTTTATCTAGGTACAGGCACTTAAGTAAAGTTTGACATTAGGGACTTATTGCACAGCCGGTCGCAGGTGATTAGAGATTCGGCTAGGTTTATAGAAGTGTGGGTTTGGAGTCCACCACGTTAGTTAATATGTTTAACCAGGGAAATACTATTATTATTAGATTGATATGATTATCAGATTATCAGACTGATAGCATGGTCTATAACATTTTGCTGTCTCTGACCTGGCACTTGTGCAGCTTAAGTCTTACTTATCTGAAAGAACACTATAATAACACCACATCAAAATTTTCTGATATGAAGTATGGAGTACCTCAGGGCTCTGTTCTTGGCCCTGTTTTTCTCTCTTTATATTTTACATCTAAGCTAAATTATGTGCATTCATGGTATCAATTTCCACTCTTGATGATACTCTGTCTGCTCTGTGTCTTGCCTATGAACGCAGATGATCATTATCACATTATTAAATTAGAGGCATGCCTGTCTGCTGTGAAAAACTGGACGACATTTAATTTCCTGCTCCTAAATTCTGATAACACTGAGATGCTGTTCATTTACCTGGCCCATCACAGACATCAGTTTGATCAGTAAACATTAGCTCGATGAATGTGTGATTCCTCAAAGTCTGACAGCCAAGAATCTCAGTGTTATATTTGACCCTGATTCTTTTGATCAGCACATGACAGACATCACCAAGACCGGATGTTTTGTTTTCAGGCCTGCCTCATGCAGTTACTGAGTCTTTAAATGGCTCAAAATGCTGCAGCAGAATTTTGAAAACCTCTGGTGTAGCCAGTTTTTTCTATATTAGTGTCATTAAGTCTTAAATGCAATTGGATTCTGTGTCCTGAAATGTGTGTATTGGTGTCATTGACAAAAAAATATTGTATGAAATGAAACCATCTTACCTCATAGGACCAGACACACTGGACCCCAGCAAACCTCCTGACACACCGGCCCACCTCCACATCTTCATGGGTAGTGTACATCTCCTGCAGACACTCTCTGATGTGGGGGACCATCCTCTTGAGGACCTCGCGGCTCATGATGACCCCTGGCCCTCCCATGCAGAAGTTTTCCCCAGGCTCCAGGGCCAGTTTCCCTAGCTCGTCCCGGGCCCCCATGCCTGTTTGGCCAAGGAAGATGGCCTCACTACTGTTGAGGCTGCGCAGGAAGCTCTCCAGTTTCTCACTCTTAATGTAGACGTCGTCATCGGCCCTCATGAACCACTCGTACCTGTCCAGATAATGGTCGTGCATGTACTTGAGCATCATGAAGGACTTCTTCTGGGGTGGGTACGAGTCATCCACATTCCTAAGAGCCACTATGGGAATGGGTATAGAGGTGTCAGAGCCCTCACTGGAGAAGAACTCCACATGACCTGGAATTGTCTGTGCCCAAGTCCTGTAAATACACACACACACACACACACACACACACACACACACACACACACACACACACACACACACACACACACACACACACACACACACGGATGGAGTCAGAAAAAGGTCAGATAAGAAACAAATGGGATTATCTAAAACATGTAACAACCTGCAATAAAAATAGTAATGGCCCCAAAGCAGTCGCAGACATGGGATACTCAAGTGGTCCTGTGCATATATACAGTGTAGTGAGTACAGAGCATACAGTCATAAATTCTCGATAATGACAAGAACAGCTGATTACATTTATGTTCCACAGAACCTTGTGGGTCCACAGAGGTCCTGATGAATGGTTAGAAATGGTTTAGCTTGTAAAGTAGTATATGGTGCCAACTAGTTCTAAAACACAGGAGAAATTCATATTTCTCACCCAAAAGCAGTGTACATGCTAAACCATCATCTCTCCATAGGTGAGGAGTGAAACCTCTTGTCTACAACGGCTGCGTCACTAAAGCAGCCTGTGAGCAGCAGCTGCAGTCCTCTGTCAGTGTCACATTGGATACACTCTGCCACAGTGTTGCTGTCACTATATTTTACTGCAGGTAAGGTGATTTAACATTATGTACTGTATTTAATGTTACCAAAAAGACTGCAAGTAGGGGTTCATGGTGGTGGCAATCGTATCTACAATCAGATCATCCTATCGGCACCCTGTGAAATTGGCTACCCTGTGTCCTGAGCAAAACTTGACTCTCTCTCTTTCATTGGTTATGTGCAGAGGATGCTGATGTGAAACTGCGGCTGGGAAAATTTAAATTAAATTAAATATTTATTTACTACTACCACAACTACTACTACTACTACTACTACTACTATAACTACAACTACTACTACAACTACTAGTACATTAATGGGAAAACAAGCCAAATATCATCTTGACATTGACAAAGGCTTAGATATTGGTATTTGCTCTGAACATCATTGATCACCAAGATCATCGTCTATCGGCACAACCCTAGTGGATGGCATAAACGGTGTAAAAAGCATACTGGTATTGATTTGTCCTACTGTATGTATTTGCTGACCGTTAGAGCCCTCACAGATCTACAGTGGCAATGACGTAACTACCGTTACCATGCCTAGTCTGCTGGAAAGAAGATGATTCGCTGAGAGCGAATCGTCTGGAAATCGTGCTGCTTTGTTTTGAAACAAAGACACAGCTGAAAGCGCTGCACACAAGGAGAGAAGAAGGAGTTGGTAAAAAAGACTGGTAAACCTCCATTATATGGACATGGCTCGGGTTGAAAAAGTCATACAACGAACAGAAAATGATAATCAGCAAATTATGGAAGGCCAGCAGTGGTTGGAAGTGGTGGTAATACAAGTAACTTTTTCTAGGAAGGTAAAATAATTCTTCCCATGCAATACATTTCTCATCCCAGTGTTCTACCCCTTCAGAAGAATTTATATTCAGATTTTAAGAAAAACAAATATACAGTGATACTGTTATGACTGTAAATTTTAGGCCATACCGCCATACCCTATTTGCAAACACATTGGTCATGGAGAGACAGTGCTATCTGTGTTTGCAACGTCCATCTAGCCCACATGATAATTCCATTTAAACCTAAAATGAACATTCATTCACGGCATTACACAATATGGTGAAATTAAAAGAATACACTATAATAATTCTTTAAGGGGTCTACAGGTTTGGATTTAGGCATTACAACAACTACTCTGCATCTACTGCTGAAGACTTTGTGTGATGTACACCGCAGTGCAGATGGGTCCCCATTGAAACTGGACACCCAGAGGAAAGGCCTTCACTAGACAACAACCTGCTGCACATCAATAGAACTGTTGGCATCCTTGGACGAAGGTTTAGGCCTAAATCCAAACCTGTATAGCCTTTAAAGGATTTTATACTGTTAACATTGATGCTATTTTCTGCACCATCATATCTGCATAAAAAACTATTTCAATTGTTTCACTTTATTTTCAGATTTTGGAAATCAAACTAGACTTTTGTTATAAGATACTCCATCTTAACACCTTTTCTGCAAAGCTCTCGATCAGCATCAGACTCAGATCATGACCAGAAGGCCTGATCTGAATCCTGATCTGAATGGAGACACAATCCTTAACCCTGTTCTCCAATGTTTCCCGCATAGTAATGTGAAACTGAGGAGGAATTAACTTACATTTAAACGATACGTTCAGTCTTGATCCTTCACCACCTTTATGTACCTTAAGAGATTTTAAAATGTGCTTCACACAGGAAGGATTTTTTTAGTGGCAGAATAAGAGACTCTTTGTGGAGTATGGACACACTGTAGATATCTGCTTCTCTAAGTTGTACTTTGGTTTATTTTGGGGAAGACACCAGTTTATTTCTGGGGCTTGAACATATATCATCAGTGCAGGAGTCAATCATGGCCTGCCTGAGGTCCCCTGACATGTCCAGAGAAAATATCATAACGCCTCTCCAGAAACATACCAAGTTCTGACTAAGTGTGACTGAATGTAGTTTAGTCAGGAAATCCCATCACTTAGTCTCAACTCCGATGTGATTCGATAAGGTAGCTGTGGAAATGAGGTGGTTTGAGAAGCCCTGGTTTGGTATACTGTGTTGGTAGACCTGTAGTCTTCATGCAGGACTAGCAGACCAAATATAGAACAGATGTGACACTTTAAATCGCCCAGGTTAACCTCTTAAACTCAGTACAAACTCATCCTTACCAACTAAACACTGTTCAAAGAACTGTATTTTACATTCTAGAGGAGATTCTTCAGTGGTACTAATAAAAATCAGTAAATTAATTAGTCATTGAGAAGAAAAATAATCATCAATCTGTTTTAATGACCAATAGATCATTTAAGTCATTTATCAAGCAAGACTATCCAACACTGTATATACTGAGTATATTTAGGTTTTGGACAGGTTTTGGTCAGACATCTCCATTTAATGGACTGGTGCAGCCTTAACAAAAACTTACTGTGTGTTAACATTGTATAGCTTCTATAAAAATGCACAATGTTTCTGATACTGTCAGACAGAGTGGAATGAGATTATTTCACACACCTTAAAGCAATTTAAGGGGAAATGATGGGGATACTAAATCTTCATGGGTTTTAAAGGCGATTTTATATCACATAGCTAACAATTAACTGGTGGCACGTCACTCCAGATTTAAACAAATCACTGGGCTATTATAGTAATTTCAGCATATCAGCACATACATCACGACATAGAAGATGTAAACTGGGTGGTAGCAGTCAGTGTGGGCCAGCTGAAAATGGGTTGAAATAACTGCTGCTAGCTAGCTACCTAATAACTGTTTTACCCAATGTCCTTCCAGGTAGAATTATAATGAAAGCCACGTCTAAGTGCTGCCGCTTTAAATTGAGATTGGTGGACCGTTACCTTCCATGAGAGAGATAAAGAGGAATGGGTGAGTCGTGGGAAAAAAAACGACATTCATCTATGACACATCACATACCTGTACGCCGCCACGGCTCGGCTGTTCAGGTACTTCTGGGCAGTCATGACACCAACGAACAGGAAATTACTGGACCTGGAGCCAGGTTTCTCGGTCACCGGTGAACCGTTATCTTGCGGTGGCCATAACACTCCGCTGTATTCCTTCCTCAGACCCCCGTTCAAGCCACAACCGGCAGGGTTTGCTTTTCGTTTCTGTCCAGCTTTCTTCAACTCGGTCGCCTTGGGTAAAATGAGTCTGGAAGCCAGGGTGAACCCGACAACCAGTCCCAACAGAACACTAAACCATGCTCTTCGGCTTCGACCTGCCATTCCCCAAAACTTCACCAGCTCGCCGCGTATCTTCACTGTATCCTAAACGACGAAAAACAAACCAATAAGCAAAATAAAAAATGAAACTAAAACAATAAAAACCGGATCGGAAGAGCTCCTGTGTCTCCAGAAAACCGGGCTCACACACACTCTCTCATGGTAGAAAAGCCCTTTTCTTCCAGTTGCCTACGTAGCATCACAGCAGTCTCCTTGAAGCCGCCACCTGAACCGTTCTCTGTCGCTTCTCCCTCTGATCATCAAACTGTCCGTCGCGATCGACCATCAGCAAACTTCAACGCCAATCGACAAATGCAGCACCTCCTTTCATTGCCTTGAATAGCGGACCCATTTTCGCCATTATCTCGCCATTGGAAGGATGTCAGACATCGAGATAGCTATTCGCGAAGGCTTTAACATTGATTTGACCCAATGGAATTTCCGTAGCAGTGCTCTGACTGGCTGGCTGGATGAATCCCTCCGAGCTATTGGACATAACGATGCAGCGTTCATGTGACATGGGAAAATTCCGCTGCACAAGACCACCGAATACATTTGCAGCATAGACCTTGTGTAAAACTTGGGTTAGTTGTTTGTCAATTATTAAAGCTTTTATAATAACAACAACACAAATACAACAGCAACAGTACTACCACCACAAATCATTATTATTAATAATAACTATGACACTAATATTCAAACTGGACTGTACAACGCGATATTTTGTTGTTCTTATTTCTAGTTGAATGTGTATTTCTCTTTCTTCCTGAAAACTATATGTACTAACGATATGATCTTTATATTTTATGTATTACTTCACATTATTACTAGTATTATTGTAACACCAGAATTTATTATAGTTAGCCACGACTTTACCGAGTAGTAGGCCCCTGTAAACTAAACTGGACAGCAGAAATTAAAATAAATGAAAACCCCAGGCCTGTGAAACCCCATCCTATGAAACAGTAATGTATCGTGAACATTGTAAAGATGGAATATAATTCACACAGTTGTAGTGTATGTTTTACTCTCTACATGTGAGGTGTAAAGAATTTATTTATTTTTTTATTTGCTACTTTTATCTACTTTTGTGCTACATGACATGAAAACGTCACTAAAGTTTTTCCATGTGGAATGTCCACAAACGCAGCACGACTCTCAGCCAGCTCTCTAGTCTCGAGCTCCCCCACGTGGTTCTCGTCTTGAGGTTACCACTTTTTTTACGTTTCAAATCTTTTTTAATAAACTCGGAGTTCTTTCAAAGCCATGAGATTATCTCAGTGATGAATTGCCACCAGGTGGTGTTCCTGAGTTTGACGCGTACAGCTTTAGTTCTTATTGTGTAGCACAAGTTTTCAATGACCGCAACAAGTTGAAGAACAAAAGTTGTAGTTTAAAGTGTTACACTATCTTCAAACCATTCTCAACACAACAGTCGGTTTCAGAGATAGACTTCCTTTGTGGTATGTGCAAAAACTACCAGACTGACATGATTTTGTGTCTTCAGAACCAAAACATGACAGTGAGTAATACAGTGAGCGTGCATTCATGTACATTGGCTGCGAGTGTATATAAGTATGTATTTATTTATTTATAATGGAATTCTCTTTAATTTCATGCCTTGCATGCATGCTTGCATGATTTTATATGTGCATACATGCACAAGAGTGTGCACAACTGTTAATACAACATTAAAGCTTGAATCTGACTGAAAGTTCAGATATATATATATATATATATATATATCAAATATAATTTATAAAAAGAAATCTCCACCAAGATATTTATCACAAAACATTGTTTCCATATAAGTTTTGTGCTGTTTGTTTATGTGGTGTATCAAATATTAATATTGAAAATTACGCCCAGGCATGTCAGGACACTCATCATAATTTTATTGTCCACTCCAGCACCTCCAGACCAGTCACGGTTAGGTTACCAACTTAAATCATGGCATTAGGCTAAAATGTCACAAAGTTCATTTTTCAAGTTTTTTTCTTTTTTTAATGAATTTTACCTGAATGTAAATCAAACAGAGGAAGACCTAAACTTTAAAATGCTTAATCCTTTAACACAGGGTGAACAACCTGAGAGGAAGTTTTGGGAGGAAGTCTCTTAACAAATTGGAAGGTACAATCAAGACAGTTCAAAGTAAACTCAGAGAGGATATATGGATATATGAGAGGATCGCAAAGTGTAAGAGGCCACAAAGACTACAAAGCAACAGGGACTCTCCGAGTAGGTGAATTATCAGCACCTGGGCTGGAATGAAGCAGCCAACCGTGACAAATTGTGGGTTATAGTCTGAAGAGAACCAGGGTAAATACACATCAAGTATGTGTTATGTGTACTGTGTTGGCATTTCTCACAGGTGGGTCTCACTTGTCTGCCTACCTGCTGGCACATGCTTTAGCAGCCTAAGACTGGTGATATTACATGTTTTTCTTCTTGTCATCAAAGCCCATGTGCAGACGCAAACCAGCACCTACTGACAAATACTGTGCATGTGTTAAAAGCCTGATACAGACTTCCATTGTTGTTCAATAATAATAACTATCAACACATCAATGAGCCAATGTGTAGCACTGGCTGAGATGTTTGTTCATTAATATAAACATACACTGTAGTTTATTTTGACTCAATCCCACACACACCGTCCTGCTGCCAGAAATATTGTCCAGAGGACCAAATGAGGATTAATCAGCTGCTGAAAATAGTTCCTGACGAATGCACTACTTCCTGCTGTTAAAGTAAAATCTGCTGAAGGCTACAGTGTCCAACATTTTTAGGAAATTACTGAGCTTAGAAATAATAATAATAAATGTACTTGTGAGCTGTTTTTAGAGGTTTATGTCTTCATTAGGAACCAAAAGGCTTTGAGGGTTAGAGCCACAGAGAGGGTAGAGAAGTGAGAAAGTGTTGAGAGATGGACTAACACATTGTTGGTGTTGGACTTTTTAAGTGATGTCAACTAGAAAAATAGTAAATAAACGCCATCTGCAAGACTACATCTGTCACTGGAACAGTGCCTGATGCCTGATGAAACAGAAGAGGAGAAACCAGGGCAGATCGTATCTCTCTTTTAATAAGAGAGAAATCATAACACAATCTACTTTTCTGTCTTCACTGGATTATGGAGATCTCCTGGATGTTCACTCCTCTTAAATCACTTGACATTATTTACCACTGTGTCTTCCAACCCATTGCATAACACCAAGCACGAGTTATATAAAAAGATCACAAGTTATCACTGACATCTGTGTTTTCATTTTTGCCATCTAAGTTGCTGAGATTTTAAATAACCATGATCAGATCACAGGATGTGTCAGCTTGAAGGTTCCTCATACCAACTCTGAACTTGGACAGACTGGAATGAACTATAACATAAACATAAAGTTAGAGACACTGAGGGAGTGTCAACATTAATATTTGTAATGGTTTTACTCTTGTATGTCTGTCAGTGTCAATCTGCCAGGGGGGTTGTATTGACCTCAGTTCCTCCCACTCCGTGCACCAAGTATAGTGCACTCAGCAGAATACACATCTTTACTTTGTTTAGCACTGAGTCTAAAAGACTAAAAGAACAACCAGGACCCCTGTGCTGGAAAACCTGGGCCCCACTTTAAAATGTACAATCTGCCTCAAGGCCTTTATCATTTCAGTTCACATTGTCTTTAGTGTAACAGATTCAGAAACATATCTGCAGTTAATTAACCTCACAAACAACTGGACAAAATAAAACTGGGGCTTTTTGCCTTGAGCCAACTAGAACTAGACTCAAACTAGATTTTCTCACTAGTCGTACTCTACATGACAGGGGCCCAAATTAGGTAATAATGCCGGGTCTGACTTAATCATTTCAGGCCACATTGTGCTTTAGTGTTGAAAGTTCAGCAACAAATTATCCTGTGGAATATTTGACCACTAGTAAATCTATGGAGCAATTTCTTACTACTCCAGCGTTTTTGAGCACCGAAAACAGAGACTTTCAGAAACACCGCTGGACCCGTTTTAGGTTGAAAACTCCGGGTTTGCATTGTAGTCTGGACGGGTGAAAACGGAGACCTTTTGGAAACGATGACATTGACACCCACGGCCGCTCCCTGATTGGGTCTTATCAGCCTCGACTACAAGTGGTGAAAGCAACATCCTTAACCAATTACAAGCGTTACTGACCTTGTTGTGTTTGCAGTAAGAAAAAGGAGAGTGCTAGATTGTCAAGATGAATGTATAAAAATGAATGTTTCTGTGGCAACCCTTTCTGAACAAGCCTCTCCCTGCAGGAGCCTGATGGGTGGAGCTGGTGGCAGTCTGCCAGTTTCTTTCTCTATCTCTCTCTCTCTCTCTCTCTCTCCTGCCTTCCACCCTGTTTGGTTTTATTGTGTTTTGTTTGTCTTTGGATTTATTTCCTTTTTTAATAAACTTTTTAGTTATAACTCATGTGTGATCTTCACTCCTTTGTCCAGCCTTGAGCCGGGTTGTGACAGTTTCAAACTTAAAAGAAAAATCAGCTTTTCAAATGTTTTATGAGGAAGAAAACTCATTCAAACATGTTTGTCAGACCTGAAGGACACACACCTGGTGGCCGTGTTTTTATTGCATAAAAATGAGAGTAAATCTATAGACATACCTTCCTTACATTTAGATACAGAGGGGTGACGAATTATAGGAAAAATCAACATAAAGTGCCCTTGTGAGGTCTCTACTGCAGGATGAACACCATTCATCCAGAAGATATTCCCTTATCTGGTGTTTTGATGATGGTGGTGGTGGAGAGTGCTGTCTAACATGTCGCTCCAAAATCTACCATAGTTCAACTGGAGTGAGATCTGGTGACTGAAGGCCACAGCATATGATTCACATCATTTTCATACCCATTAAACCATTCTGTGACCTCTCGTTCCTTATTGGATGGAGGCACTGTCGTCCTGTTCCTCCACTCAGTTTTCAGGTTTGTCCTTTAATTTGCCACCATCTGCAGATCAAAATGTTTGTAACTATATAATCAGAATGTAATATTTCTTGTACTTAACGATTGCCCACCAGCTACAGCTGCTGTAGTAATATAAGCTCTAAAGCTATGGCAGTACACATAGGTAAACATATTAAAATATATGAGAAAAGACACTGACTGTGAAATTCATCAGCCAAACCTGGTGGTGAAGAACCATTTACAGGAACGGCTTCATTACAAGCTTTCAATTCCACAATTGATTCAAGATGATCATATTGTGTTTGATGCTTAACGATGCAGCAGCACAGAGAAATCAGAGAGTAAACAACAGGAAATCAAACAGGAGCGCAGGTAAGTGCTATTCAGAATGACAACTCATCAACTCCCATTAGAAATATGGAGCCAGTTACAGAAAAAAAATCATAATAAAGTGTGGACTTGGTGACATCGTCAGCTTGGTTCAGTCAGTCAGTGTGCACATCAGGATGTCAGAGGTCAAAGGTCATACAGACCGATGTCTCTGACCTTCTTTAACCTCATCCACCGGATGATGGCCCCCTCCTGCCAGGTCTCCAGGAGCAGGAACCTCCTCCCTCTCCAGACAGGGGATTGTAGTCTGAGAAACACACAGAAGCACAGGATGCAGACTGCTATGTACGACACGCACACACATTAAAGCCTGCTAACCCCTCCAACATGGAAGAGAAGCATTGTGTGGAAATTAGTGCAAAGATAAAATTTTGTTCAGGTGGGTGTGTCACCTAAACATTTTATTTTGAGAACAATTTATCAAAATATTACAGAAGCTAAACGATCACTGCATGCTTTGGGGAAATGAACCAGCAGAAGGTCTAGGCAGATACTAATTATTGACTTAAATATACAAAACTGTTGGTATGGTCCTATAAAATCCCTATATTGCTGAGCTCTAGTGGTTTAACTTTCACCTTGTTTCAGTGATGTAGAAGTGTAGGTGTGGTTACAAGTTCACCTGAGCACACTTCTGACCACACCCACCAGTGATGTTGACTGTGGTCAGAGGGGAAACACAAACTTCCAACCAGAGACACTGCTGTTCAGTCTGGTCTTACAGGGCGACTCATCTCCACAGTCAGTTATGTGTTTTAAGTTAAGTTTTACTAATAGACCTTGGTCCAGAGTATCTTCACATTGCTCTGTTGGTTAACCCTTAGCGCTTTAAAAACACCTCCATCTGATTCTAGTTTAAATGTTTGTATGCACAATGATTTGGCTACAGTTACAGTTACACTTATGTCAGATATTTTTTTTAAATGAAAAACCATACGTGGGAACTAACAGCACTCAATTTACCGCCTTAACTGGCTGTTCCCCTGCTAAATATTTAAAGCCTCAGTGTGTGAAGTACATACCAGCACTGCGAAGTGACTTCTTGTCCGTCTTTGGTTTCATCACTGTTGTTGATGAGCTGGCCTCTTCAGTGGTCTGCAGTGATATACATTCATCAGATACAACAGTGAGGGACCCACACTGATGTGAGTGTGGTTGGCCTTAGTTAAAAGCCTTTACAACCTTTGTTCAATCAATATTATATATGCAAGTAGTTCTCTAGCAGAAACAGAAATGTACAGTATGTCAGTGACAACAGTTGCGTGACCAACTATAAAATAACACACTAAAGTGATGTTGGCATTAAAAGCGTTCAACTGGCAAAATTTGAAGGCTTTTGTTGTGCCAACAGATCAGCTTGAAATTTTTATTTTTTTTTTACTTTATTTTTATAGCACCTTTAAAAACAGAATTTACAAATTTTACAAAGTTATTTGACAATCAAAGGAAATGCAGTAATAGGCAAGAGGCACAGAAGGCAATATTACAACAGAAAGCTGGACTGTAAAGCCAAACAAAAGCAGGACAGAATTACGGTAAAGTTTAAGATGGAAGACAGACAATATACTTCAATATAAATAAGGACAATTAGAGAGAGTGGATGCCATATAAAAGCAATAAAAGGACGATAAAGAGAAGACATCAAATAAAAGCAAGTCTAAAGGAGTGAAGAAACCACCGATTCTGCCTCATTTCCTCCAGGATGTCATTCAAAAGACAAGGGGCTCTGATGGCAAAAGCACAGTCACCTTTAAATTCAAGCCTCAGCTTTGGAACTGCCAGAGAGGCCATACATGAGGCTCTAAGTTGCTCATATGAGGTTAACGTTTCTGTTACGTAGCTCGGGGCTAGGCTAGTCAATAAGGAATTTTCAATGACATTAATTTATTTTCAGTCAATCATTTGTTAAAAGTATTATGAATGTATTGAACAGTGGTCTCTATCAAAGTGAAATGTAGGCTGACTGTGTCATTACACCCCTGTAATGATGCACAGTTCTGTTGTCCACCACTTGAAGGAGAGGGAATTTAATTTTGGTCTTTTGTGTGGATGATAAACTTTGAGAGAATGATCTGAAATTAATCAAATTAATTCTGTTCAATAATAATTCATTCAATTTAAAAGACAAAGTTATAGAAGATTAACTCACCTGAGAAAGTTTTGCAGTTCCTTTGTAACTCTTCCCCTGTTGCATACTCTCCCATACCTCTATTTTCTGCCTCCTCTTCTCCTCTTCTTGCTGTTAAAAAAATAAATCCCACGGTCAGTTCAGGTCTAACATCACAGGTAGATCATCGTATTTGTTTCAACAACCTCTGTTTCACTTCTGCACCTGTTTCTGTTTCTCTCTGAAGACGGCTGCTTTGGCATCCAGCTCTGCTTGCATCTTTCTCCGAGCTGCTTCCATGGCCTCTTGTCTTCTCGCTACTAACGCAGCATCTTCACAAAAAAATTAAAATCATTACATTTAGCCTTCATTAATGAGCAAGGAATCACAATGCAGAAACTCTTAGCTGATAGAGAATTAATCAACATTTCTGATGATTAATAGTTGGTATTAGTCTTGAGACACTTATCAAGAAAAGATGCCAAACTCCTGAGATCTGAGCTTTTTTTTTTTTTTTTTTTATTAGAGTACCAGTGAGAGAGAGACAAGACAGTTGGGGGTGAGATGGAGGAACCTTCTGGAAGGCGACCATCTCTGCAGCTCTCCATCAATCAGGCCTTTATAACAGAGTGACCAGTCTGAAGCAACTTTGAGTAAAATGCATATAAAAGCATTTAAAGTACTCTGAGCATGAGGAAAAAGATTCTCTGGTTTGATGAGAACTGAACTCCAAACACCAGGTCTGATGAACACCAGGCACTGCTCATCACCATCACCAGGTGGCAACATCATGCTGTAGGGGGTTTCTCAGCAGCAGAGACTGAGACACCAGTCAGAACTGGGGGAAGTATGAATGCAGCCAAGTACAGAGAGGTCCTTGAAGAAAACCTGAATGAGACTGGGGCATAAATCCACCTTTCAGCACGACAATGACCTGAAGACATGAAGCCAAGACAACTCAGGAGTAGCTTCAGGACCAAGTCTCTGACTGTCCTTGAGCCAAGACTTAAAACCCATAGAGCATCTGTGGAGAGACCTGAAAACAGCAGTTCACACACACTTCCCATCCAATACAAGAGAGCTTGAGAGGATCTGCCAGGAAGAACTGGATATGGCCCAAATCCAGGTGTGCAATTTGAATACTTTCTGAAGATTAATTTCAGCATCAAACATGTTAACGAGTTATCCTCTGGGATCAATAGAGGTTAACAATAGGGTTGAGCTGATGTAAAAACTTTCAAACCAGTTTGATATTAAACCTAACATTGGATTGGACCACTGTACCGACGTTTGCCACTAGGTGTCACACTTGACTCAGCAGATGTTCCTGTGTGGAGCATAATGAGAACATACTGAAATCTCATGTTAATCATGTTGTCACATAGCATATTACTAATCCAATACTAGTTGGAGTTACGGTTGCCATCAGCACAGGATGCTGATGTATCCTACTTTTTAATGTGCAGTTCACTTGATAACAAGTTCATCTTTAAAATCAACTGTTAAACATGTGTCTCTACAGTTGTTGCAGTGGTGCAACTTGTCAAATGAAGTTTACAGGTGCAACTGATTTCTCAAAACAGCAGAGGCCACAGGCAGACATCAGAGTGGCCCTAACAGAAGGGAGGAGGTGAATTCGGGGAGGTGATTCGAAGCTCACATCAGCTTCAGATAAACTTTAAAATGCATCTTTGCAGAGAGTGAAGACTGAGTCGTGTTACAAAGGAATCTCTTGACAGACAGTATGAACAGGAACAATCATTACAGCCACCAATAACTCTGTCATCATGCATATGTAATATTTACTATTATTGTATTAACATAGACCTGAAAAAAAAAAAAAACTATCCTTTAATGGCAAGGCCACAACATTTACACATCTTTTCCCAGAAAGATTGTTCAGTCCCACATTGTGCTTAGAATGCACCTCTTTAATATGAAATTCTCTTTCACTCCATTTGATTAGTTTTTACTGATCTGACCGTTGTCTTGGTAACTCTGTATCAGGTATAGGTGAATGCTGGTGCTGACCTTGCTGTGTTTGTGGGGGTGAAGTGGGGCGGCTCTGGCTGGATCTCCTCTTGCTCAGGTACTGGATGAGCACGTAGACCAGCACAGTCACAACCAACAGGTGCCAGCCATACTGGGAGAGAAGGTCTCCCACTGTGAAGGGGCAGGAGAAAACATGTGATGTTTCTTGTTGTAAAACAACTTCTTACATATGAAAATATATAAATAGATTAACAATTCAGAGGTTAATAACCCAGATCACATTAATAAAAAGGAACAGGAATGACAGGAAACTATCAGCTAAAATATTAGAAAATTAGATGATAATAATAGATCTTCATTCATTAATTTCATAAGTTTACATAATATTATCTACACAAAATGATGATGATATTTATCAGATAGTTATCTTGAGAGACTGTATCAGCTAGATTCAAAATTATGGTATAAAGCAAAGGATGACATATTGTTGGTTTTATTCAGATTGTAACCATGTTTCTCACAGTAATGAATAAAGGTATACATCTTTTCAAAAAAAAAAAAAATTCACTGTGGTGAACTGATGGTAAGATAAATGATTTAGGTAGAAACACGTGTTACTAAAAGTTAGACATTATATTTCAGTTTAATTTGTCATGTCTTGACATCATCTAGCTGCCTTAGCTATAGAGAAATTACACCGGAGTCATGCATCAGGCTGGCAAATCAACTAGCTAGCTAGCAACTGGTGTTTTTCATTATGATATCGATTGTCGTGACTAAGTCGGCACTGGTGGCTAGTGAAATCAGAAGTTATGTCGATCCAGTAAACAGTAAACAGTAAACTCGGTGGTCATGTTATCACGTCAACTTACCAAAAAGACTGAGAGAACCTAAGTCCTGGTTCTTGAGGGGCGGTTTCTCCACCTGAGGGCGGCCTTCATCGACATCTGTGATCTCCACATCATCCATCTCAGACAGATATAAACGCTCCCGTGCTGAATAACAAACGTTATCGTCTCTGAGGTTAGTTGTCGTGTTGGCGACTACTTCCTATATCAGCCATCTTTGATAGAGCTGTACGCAGAGCAGCATGAATGACGTGTTGGTTAGTCCTGTGGTTCGCCCTCTTTTTCTGTGGTGTTTGTTGGCGGTCAGCAAACCAGTTTATAGGTGTGTTACCGCCACGGACTGGACTGGAGGCAGATTAGGAGATTATGCGGAGGAAAAAATACATATATGTCACCGTTTCTTCTCATGTCATATTACTTCATAATCAACTCAATCAACAATTTTCAATCTCATTTCAAATAGCTTTATTGGCACGAACAAAAACATGTTGTCAAAGTAATACCAAGAATATTAAAATACATTAATTGTTAAATATGTGTCACAAACTAATAAAGCCCTTGTTTGATTTTCATATAATACAATAAAATGCAATGTAGTTGATTCAATTAATCAATTAATATAATAATAATCAATTAATCAATAATAGAATCAATGGACAGCTTCAAAGAATAGTAAAAGCAATAGGGGAAAACATTGTTTTTGTTCTTATATTTCTCCTTATATTTCAACATTTTTTAATTTACTTATTTATTCCTTTATTTAATCCTCTTTATATTTTCTTATGCTTTTACAGATTTATTCTTTTTTATCACACTCCTATGAACCATACCTTTTTGCCGTCTACTTTTTACAAACCCCACACCACAGGGTTTTTTTTACACAGGTGACACTGTTCCACTGTTATCGTTTTTAAAATCAGTGGAGTGCATAATTTATCCCCATGCTTGTGTTGTGTTGTTTTCTGCCACATGGGTGCACTGTTTGATTTTACATCTCTCAACTATGCTTTCTGCTGACCACCACTTAGTGCTCAGTTAAGAGGGAAACTGCCTCCAGGAGCCCTGGACTCCAGGTCCCCAAAAGTTTATTGTGTGTCAACTGGTTTTTGCTTATTTAACTGAAAGTTTGATTGGGAATATGCCACATTTAAACACAGCTCCAGCTGATCTGATAGGGGCTGTGTTTTAAGGCCTTGGTTATTTTGCACAATACAAAATGAATGTGTGTTAATCACCAGAGAGTAAACATGGGCTCAGGTAATATTCCAGCATAGAAAAACTGTGCACATTGCACAGAGTTAGAACAGCAGCTCGTTTTTGCCCTGGGCAGCCTATTGTAGCTTCACATAGAGTAAACAAACATTCCTGCCTGAACTGAAAGACGTTTGAATACTGAATCCATGTCACACATTCATTGAAACCTTCCAGGGCATCTGTAAAAGGAACAAAGTACGAGGATGAGTCTGTGCATTTCCTAGAAATGAGCACAGAGATTACAGCTTTTACTGTCACTGCTAATGCACAGCCCCCTCCTCTGTTTACACCAGCAGAGATGATACAGCTCTGACCATTAAAAATGACCCGATGTGGATTATGTGGGTGATCATAGAACAGATCAAAATGCAGACAGATTCTAATCACAGATTTCCTTCAAGAAAAGACGTGTTCATTATGTCTTAACACTGCATGAAAAATCCAGTGTGCCTGCTTAGAGGACAGGGACCACGCAGCTGTCAATCAAACACCAGACACCTGGACACCTTTACTGTGTGAGAGGGGATTTTCTCCTTAAAGGAGTTTCTGCCAGATGGTTTTTCTGCTCCACCAGTCACTCACTCACACATTGTTTCACTTCCCTTTAAGAAGCCTCTCATGCACATCAGCACAGAGAATATCATCATACAGTTTGACCTGAAACATATCAACACACACTAGAGATACAAGAAGAAGATTTTCCAACTAATGTAAAATTTCCTGGAAAAACATTTACGTAACTTTAATTTTCAGAGGAAACACAAACAAAAACATAAAATAATCAACCAACCATCAAATGTGGAATTCATTCATTGTTTAACAAACTTTGTAAATGATGAAAACCACATAGGAAACAATATATAACACAAGTAAAATAAAACTGAAATTTGATCTTTTCTACAATTAAATTTCAGCATGACAGGAATGTGTAAAGAAAAGTTTAGTAAAGCTGCTCTGAGTTCACCTCCATGATGAAGGAGGAGAAATAAAAACATAAATACTAAAAGTGTTAGAAATAAAACAAGATCATTTTATCTGCTGCAAACATTTAGGAACTAAATTTAAAACATTACATTACATTAATATTTTTTCAAAATTTCTGTAGAAAAATACTTCCCACATCCAGTCTGGTTCCTCCACCAAAAGTCCCCCACAGTGATACAAAGTCATTAAGTCGAACATATACCTCTCGCTGTAAAGAGACAATGAAACAAATTAACCTACCAAAATTTGTCTGTAATTTTGGGTCACACAAATCACTAATTTAAAATTTGTCATTATTCCATATTTATTGATTTTGATCTAAATAGTTTTTTTTATTGCAAAACATTCAAGTACTGAAAAAGACATTCTGCATAAAATTTGTTCAGAGATATAAAACAAAAAAAATAAAAATAAGTATTTCTACATCCTGATCAGTTTGATAAACTGATTGATCTATTGATAATCAGCATCATGAGAGTGATCCAAGTCCCTGTTGGAGTGAGTCAGAGCATTTCCATAGAGAGCCACTTTGCATCAGCAGCACCATGCTCCAGTGCTCTGGGAGAGTTTATAGTCCTGAGAGTTGAAGACTGGATGACTGACAGCTGTCCTTCATGACAACAGAAGACACAGAAATCCTCCTCATCAAAAACATGACTTTGGTCTCCGTCCTCATCTGGACTCTCCTCTGCTGCTGCTTCACAGGTAAAGTCCAGAGAATCAAACTCCTCTATCAACATCCGTCCCTCTGAAATGAAGCTGAAAAACCATGACGCTGCTTTATGTTTCTGTCTCTGTGTCCTCAGAGTCCAGAGGACAGGTCACAGTGACTCAGCCTGGAGCAGTGAGCTCTGCTCTGGGAGGCTCTGTCACCATCACATGTAGGATCAGTCAGAATGTTATTAATTCTGACTCTGTGGAATGGTACCAACAAAAGCAGGGGCACCCTATTAAACTGATGATTTACTGGTCAAATCGCAGAGCATCAGGGATTCCAGCTCGTTTTACAGGCAGTGGAAGAAATACTGACTTCACCTTGACCATCAGTGGAGTCCAGGCTGAAGATGCAGCAGTTTACTACTGTAATGGCCGACACGATATCAACAGCCAGTATCTGTTCACACAGTGAAAAGGCGTCGTACAAAAACCTCCCTCAGTCAGACTGAACAGAAACTGAACTGACTGCTGCAGCTGGAAGCTACTGCAGAGACTGATACAGTTCACTGAGGACACACACACACACACACACACACACACACACACGCATACCAGACTTTTGTTCAAGTTAATACAGATCACTTAGGCCCTGTTCAGGCCTGCCATCAACATGTGTCTTCAGTGATCTGATCACAAGTGGTCAGTTCACACAAGCTTTAAAATGTGACTCATGTGAAATGTGATCATTTGTGATCAGATCTCACTTTGAGAGCAGTTTATGAAAAGAACTGAGACACATTTTACCAAGAAAATAATGATAATAACATAATAACTTTTCTTTTTCTTAACAAAGTTACAAAATGTTTTACAAGAAAGGTAAAACTAGAAAGAAGAAAAATCCAAAGTGAACATAATAAAAAGTGTAGGACAGCATAATAAAAACTTCTCACATCAACATTATACAAAAAGATCTGATGACAGTATAAATGAAACACGAATCAGACATTACCAAAGACAAGGACAAAGAAATGCGTTTTGAGAAGAGATTGAAAGGACGTTAAAGAGTTATGGTGCCTAATTAGAGTCGGGAGAGAGTTCCAGAATGCTGGGGCTCTAAGAGTAATGCCCAGTCACCCTTAGTCACAAGTCTGCCACAAAATGTGACAGTGAGTCGAAAACTGCTGTACTCATGTAAAAATGTTGATACTTCATAACATCAGTAAAGAGAAGGTTGGAGGTCAAATGTGAAGGACATCATGCACAGAGCTGCTTGGTGTTAAAAAGTATTTTTATATGACCTTCCATACCTTCAGCTCCCACCAGGGTTTAGGATGTGACTGCTACCCTGAGACTCCGTCTGCTTGAACTGAGAGTTTGAATAAATACATTTTTCCTGTCCTGTTTTTGTCAGATCATCACTAAGAGATGACAATGTCCCTGTGACCTGATCCAGAAACGACCTGAGTCACTGTGGGTTTCATGGATCAGCTGTTACTGTTAAGACGTCAGCAGCGAGACACCAGACATGTATCACTTTAATAATAAACCACACTGAAAAGAATCTCATGTGATCAAAGTGTCTTTACTGTCATGAACTATCGTACATGTCAGCTTCACTAGAAGAAAACAGCACTATTGAAATATATGACAGTGTGACCCGCTCCTGATAATTACACCGCTACTAGGTTTATAAGGAGTTCAGAAACATAGAGTAAAATAACCATAGATGAAGCACAAAGTAAGTTGCAATTTGAAATCTTTAGTGAAATGAACTTGCAGGTGATAATTCATAACATGTAGCCTAAATAACAGGTTCAAGAAAAAGAAAAAATATAAAGAAAATGTGCCTTTAGTTTATCAAAAGTCAATAAAATCTTTCATCTGTGATCAATTTCAGTCTTTTTAATGTTCGTGACTGCCCTGTGACAGTTTTCTGGAATAATGTGCACTCTTTGTGGATGTGTGTAGGAGTCCTGGCGAATTGTACCACTTGTATCAATGTTCAGTATGGCCCTGCTAATATTTGCAATGCCCACTCTCTAATAAAAATGAAAGTGGCATTAACATACTCTCACATCTCCTACAGTAAAATGTTAACACTAAAATTTAAATATTTACATCTTCAACATCTAGCTCAAACATTACTCTGTCAGCAAAGTCAGCAAGCAGTAACTCTGGCATTGGCTGCACATTTCTTCAACCAACTCAACAGACAGGCCATGCAGTGTCACATTCACAAATAACAACACTAGCATAATGTTGCTAGCTTACTAAGATTGCTGGAAAAGATAAAATCGGACATTCAAGTTCCAGCTGCTACTACTTTGGTACTCTTAAATATTGGTTTGTTACCTGGTATGTTTTACTTACAGATCATAA